CCTGCTGGTGCTTGTGGCCAGCTGCCCTTTCCTCAGCCTCTTGTAAATTCAGCCAAGACTTCCCAGATGTCTCCCTAACCAAACATCCCATTTGCCTCTCATTAGAGATCCCAATACCTTTTCCTTTGAAAGTTGCCTGCAAAAAAACAGTGCAAAACCTAGGAGTACATTAAAGGAAGATATGGTGAAAAGAGAGAGAACCGTGGTAAAGAGGATGGGGAATTGCAAGTCTCAGTACTATAGACAAGGAGTGACATGACCTTAGTATGACAGGAGCTGGTACTAAGCTTTCAGGAAAAGCTGCATGCTGGATACAGCTATCTCATTCTTCAACTCTGTTTCTGTCTAGTTTCACACTTATTCCACCCCCCATGTCCCTTTTGTCCTGAGGCCTCTAGCAAGATATGACTCCACCAGCCTTTCTGTGTGTCATTCACTCTTTGCTCCTGATCTAATTGATTCAACTTTATTGTTACAATTACAATAGCATCTGGAAGCCCTGACCAGGAGTGGAGTTTCTTTGAGGGCGTGAAGCTACCTTTATGTATTCAAACCTGGGAAACTGCTGCCCCTGCCATCCCAACTACCTGGCTTGGCAGTGGGGGGAGGTCCAACCAAGAAGAGCTACAGGTAGAAATACACAGAGGTCCTTGAAGAACTATAAAATTTCACTTGTGGGCAGCATAAAAGCAGACTAATTAGTACTGTCAGTCAGCAGTGCTAATGAGCCCTCCACCCTCCAATGTTACATTACTTCCACTTGGGGACAGCATGTGCCAAGTAGTTTGGCAAGTGTGAGGATGCCACTGCTGGGCACAGTAAGTGTGTAATGCAGGCATAGCCTATGCCACTTGTCCAGCACCAAGCAGGAAGCATATAGCACAGTATTATGAACCTGCATCTCTAGAGCCCCAGTTCAGTGCTTTAATTACAAGACCATACTCATCCTCTCATCCTTTCTAGCCTCCTCCCCATGCCCCACCAGGGACAGGGAAGCCATCAAGCCATTCCTCTGCTTCTCTTGGTTTCACTCATGCCCAAGTTATTGTCACTTAGCTGTCAGGGCCTAATAATTTACAATCACTCAGGCATGCCTGTCATCTTCTTTCACCGCCATTACTATTTACAGCCTTAATTGTACATCCGTTTGGGTCTGTTGGCTTTTTGCAGCATCACCCCCATCCCGCACAAGCCTGTTCTGCCTTCACAGAGCAGAAGACAGAATTAATAAATACCACAGAACTGCTTATCATTTCGCTACCAAAACAAATCTTTTCACTCCCATGCTAGGCAATCTGTCACAGTGCCCCTGAGCTTAATGGATAAGGGCTGAATGTTGCCAAGGGCTCAGCTTCCTGAGCCCCAGCTGAAGTCAGTGGAAGTTGAGAGCACTGAACACCTTGCAGGATCAGACCCTGCAAACATGCATGCTGCTGAATAACAGGGAAGTACACTGTGCACTTCAGCTACCTTGTACCAGAGCCAGATGAGCTTATTGCAAAGCAAACAGTAGTGCTAGCCATACGGGCGGTCAGCAACTGGCTTTTAAAGCAGAAGCCTCTTGTGGTTGGTGCTAGAGAACAATGTGCCAATGACAGATCCTGCAGACATTTGTTTTGTTAAGAACACAGCCAGACAGGATGCCTCTCTGTGGGCTGAGAACACCACCAGGCCAGGGGTACATCATGTCTCTTTTTACCACTGGTTCCAGTTATCAGTCAACTGCAAAAGGTGTCTTTGGGGGATATCCAGCAGTGGAGTATAGGGTAATATCTGGAGTCAGTCTGAACCTTGCTCAGCAGCCTTGCAACCTTTTTCTCCTTTGTTCACCCTTGGGAAAGCAGTCAGAACAAGCCCATATCTAGAAATGCATCAGGAGTGGGAAGTAAATGAGGCAGCTCTCTGTCCTGTCATCGTGGTCTTCTGGGAAGAGATCAGCACTGTCCAGTTCCCCAGAGTACTGGGCATTTCTCAAGTGACTTTGCATTAAATCCTATCATATAGTTGCTTGTGCTGCAATGAATGCAGTCTGTTTTTGGAGGCAGAAGCTTAGTAAGTGAGAGGGGAGATCCATTCTAAATTGGATTGTCTTCATGTAAGGCCCACAGGAGCATTTTCAAAAGCACTTAAGTGACTTAGGAGCCTAAGTCCTAGTTTCAGAAGTGACAAGTACCTAGGCACCAGTGTCCCAGTGACTTAAACTGGGACTTAAGCTCCTAATGGCCAGATCCAGAAGAGGATGTAGGGTAGGCAGTAGGTACCTACTTCCAAATTCATGTACCAAATAAAACCCCTGCTTGGCAGCCATGGTGTCAATCCCTGTCAGGCATTTCCCTATTTGACTAGGGAGTGCCTTACATGTTTGCAGTGTAGCTTTTACATATGCCCAGGATTTCCCCAGTCTCTGAGCAGCTTCTTGTGTAGTTCTAGTGCACTCTGGTAGGATTGGGCTCCTGACAAAATGCGGTGGCAACTACTCCCTTTTTAAATGCAGCTGTTGGTGGTGCTCATCATACCAGAGCCTCATATTTAATGATGTCACCCAGGATGTGGGAGACCTGAGTTATAGGAGATTCAAACCCACATCTACTTCTTGGGAAAGTGCCTAACCTACTAGGCTGTAGAATAGGCTGGGATAAGGTACCCTCCACTTGAAGTTGGACAAGTGACAGGCAAGATAAAATGTGACTTAGTAGCCTAGTGATTAGGATGCTCATTTGGAAGCAAGAAGTCCTGGGTTCTGGTCCCTTTTCCCAAGACTGACTCTCTTTTACATTGAATAGTCATTGGATGAAATATGAGAAGTAATCATGGAAGCTGGGACCAGAACCTGGAACTTCTTTGCCCTTGGCAGGTGCCTTAACTACTAGGCTACAGTCCTGCTCGCTTGCAACCCACTGAATCTTGTTTTTCTTTCTGCACCACTTTATCAGGAAAGGTGGAGAGTGTCCCTCACCCCAAAACAAATTCTAATCCTGATATTCAGACAGTGTCCTAGGAGGTGGGAATTTGAACCCCCTCAGAAGGGAATTGGATTTCCAGGTCTCCTCCTTCCTAGGCAAGTACTCTTAGCCCTTGAGATGTTGTATAATGGTGGCATTGCTCCTGCCCAGTGTTTTCAAAGAGCCAGCCCAGCTCATGTCTTTCAAAGAAGAGCCAGCAGGTGTTCCCCAGGGGAGAATCCCAGGCTATGGACCCCAAGGACAAGGAGTGCAGGTGCCTAAGTTCTAGGAGGCACAGTATTTTGGACACACACCTGTGTTCCTTGTTGGCTAGATAGAAATGGTTCCCTGCTGGAGAGAGAGGTATTTTGGATCAACATTGGGAAAGTTTTGGGTCTCCAGAAATGGAACAGTAGGGGAGAACCTGCTAAGGGCTAAGTGTATTGCATCCTAACTTTCAGTGCAAAGTCCTGTGGGGAACCTGCTTAGTGTTTGGCAAGCTGACAAATGTGGCCTGTTTCTTTTTTTCCCCAAAGGCATTGCTCAGAGATGTACAGCTATCAAGTACCACTTCTCCCAGCCAATACGCTTGCGAAACATTCCCTTCAATTTAACAAAGACAATTCAGCAGGGTGAGTGGCATCTACTTCGTAAGTACCTGAGTTTGTCAGCTCCTGCACAGGGATGCAAAAGTTTCTGTAACTGCTGGCATTTTGCATGGAAAAGCAAATCAAACCATTAGTCCAGACTGGATTAGACCGCAGTCTTTGCCATCCAGCCTCCTGTTTCTAGACAGTTGCCAGTACAGGGTGCTTCAGAGGAAGACATGAGAAATTGCATAGATTTTCTTCTAGTCCCATAGCACTTACAGGCTAACTTATGCTTTGAGCATCCGTCTCTCTCTCTCTCTCTCTCTTCCAGTCTTTGGTATTTTAAGTCTCATTTACATGACTACCCTTGTCAATCATTTTTCTTAAATCCTGGTAAAATGTTGGCTTAAATTGAACTCATTGCCACAAGATACAACAGGCCAACAGTGCAATATTTTAAAACATTTGCTTTAGCTGTTTAAAATTTCTTACCTCAGTTTCAGATGGTCCCTTCTTCTGTATCACTAGCAACCTACTCTTGATGTTTTTTCCCTGTACCTTAGACTAGTTCCTATGCCTCTGTGAAATCCCCTTGTTCATCTCCAGCCTAAGCAGTCCTACTGTTTTCATTTTCACTGTATGCTAAAGTTTCCGCCCCCCATTTCCTTTAGTCAGTTCCCCCCCCATCACTTGTTTTTGAACCTCTTATGTCTTCTACTACATTCTGTATAAAATAGGTAGAGCAGAATAATCCAGGTCCAGGAAGATTACCAGTAGATGTAGTGACATTATAAAGTTTGCAGTTCCCTCTTTCCTTCTCTTGCATTTGGCCTACATCAGGGATCAGCATCCTATAACCCACAGGCTGGATCCAGCCTATGAAGCCTTTTGACCTGGCCTATAGACAGAGGCTTCAACAGCTGGGTCCTAGCTGCTGCCGCCTCTGACCCCAACTGAGCCATTCTGGCCTGCAACCTGAAAAGATTGGAAACCATTGGTCTACACCCATTGTGCTTACATTTTTGGCTGCTATAACATATTGGGGGAACTTTCTTCATACACTATTCCCAAAGTAGGACCTAAGTTCCCCTTTCCCTGCCCCCGCCCCTTTACAGTTCCTTCCTGATATTGCCTCATTAGTTCCACTTATTCCTCTCACCAAACCTAATGTTTGCCAGTAGGCCTTCTTCTTTGTCATTTCCTTTTTCCCTTCAAACAAAAGGTGCATTACATTAATAACTGCTACTTTTGTTGTGGATGCAGATTTAAGAAGAATCACCGCTGGTTTTCTGGGCATGGCAGCAGCAGTTCTTCTCTGTGGATGCATTGTAGCAACAGTTAGTTTCTTCTGGGAGGAAAGCCTCACACAGCACGTTGCAGGCCTTCTGTTCCTTATGACAGGTATGGGGCCACCTCTGTCTTCACTGCACATGCAGCTTTGATTAGGTGTACAATATCACCGAGAAGAGAGCACCTTTCTTTGATATTTCCTGTTGGATATATGTCCATTTTGTGACATACATCTGTTATTTGGCCAGACATGCCTGGTAGTGAGAACAGTGAAATGCCAAAAGAAACCTCAAGAAAAATGGGAAAGATTTTCTTAGTCTTTCATGAAGAAAAGCAAGGGACTGTTTTTCCTTCTTGAAAGAAGAATTTAGAGAGTGATTTTTTTTTGGTATCTGAAAACTGAAAGCTAGACTGAAACACACTATATCCCTGTGCATAGAGGGAGCAAGAATGTGCCCTTAAAAATCCTTGCATAGATCTTAGGTCCATATCTGCTGGGGTAAACAGGTATTGCATGATTGCTTACTTCCCAACACAAGCAAGGCAATGGAGAGTAATAGGCAAAGCCCTGGCTTATCCTCCTTAATTTACCAGCTGGCACTCCAGAGCCAGTATGGGGTAGGTCAGCACTCTGTAGCTGGAGTGGACCAGCAGAATATTATTTCCTTCTAGAGCAATGGAGGAAGTTGGGACTCAATTGTTTCTCTGAGCCACAGCATTTCTTGGGGTACTCAGGGCCTGGTGAGTTTTACAGTCCACTCTTGGCTTAGGAGTATAGACAGATCCAAAGGCACAAATCTGACTGACTAGCGAGCAGGACTTCTTGGTTCCTCCTTTTTAAAGCCACCAAAGAGGAATTGTCATTGTATAGCAAAAGCAACAATGACTTCTTCATATAGTTTATTCTGCATAAGTTTTCCTTTTATCCTATTTTCAGTCACTTATAACTTCCTGGAGTTTTCACTCCTCAGACTGCAGTTTTTTTATCATTATTATCTGCATGAATATAAACTACTGAGGCAGTCTGAGGAAAAATTGTTCAGACATTTTTAATAATGAATATGGGAGAATATTTTTTCTAATAACGAAAAACTGTCCTGGAGAAAGTGTCAATGGCAAGGGCTGGAAGCTTTAATGCGAAGCAGTGCCTTTCTATGTACCACAGGAAATTTATTATTATTTGACCAGTTACAGTTTTTTGAAAACCATATGTTGAAAGTGCACAGTAGAGTTGTATTTTTATTAAATGTGTAAAGTGCAGACCCAAGGATTTCTTGTACATGTGTGGTTAATTTCACCCCATAATGAAAAACGCCTAGCCTAATCCATTGCTGCAAAGCAAATAGGAACACAGGCCTTTGGAGAGTGGCTTAAATGATGCCAGAGAAGAGCTACATATTGGGCTCTTTAGACACCCACAAGAATTATGCTAGGAAATGCACAGTGGCTCAGAGGTGGGCAAAGTCCAGCCTGTAGGCTAGATCAGGCCTGTGGCAGACTCCATTTCCCAGCAGCCCCTGCCCATGTCACTGCAGCTGGTTTCCATGGAGACCCCAGGGCAGCAGGGCCGGACAGCACTGGAGAGGGTTTCCATGGAGATGGGCCCCAGCACCACTGGCAGAATGCACAGTTGGCCAGGGAGCTGCGCTGGGGCGGGGGCCGGGTTCTTGCCACGGTTGCAGAGTGGTCTGGAGCTGGGGCAGAGCCGATCTACTGCCCACACACCCTGGACAGGATCCCAGCTCTGCAGCAGCTCCCCCTAGCTGTGCACTCTGCCAGCACTGCTGGGGCCAGTCTCCATGGAAACCCTGCCCCTACCCTGTCAGGCCCCACTGCTGCTGGGGTCTCCCCAGAAACTGGCTGCAGTGATGTGGACAGGGGCTGCTGGGAAACGGAGTCCAGCTGCCAGCTGGATCCACCATTTTGCCCACCCCTGGTATAGCTGCAGCTAGATTAGATTATGAAGTATATTCAAAACCATTGAGCAGCTGCTTGTGGATCTTGTGAGATGTGAAGGGTGCCACAAATGGCACCAGCAGCCTCCGTGTGGCATGCAGCAGTTGGGGAAGGGGCAGGCAGCACAGTGGCAGATTGGGCAAGGAGCAGAAAACAGCAGTAGATTAGGCAGGAAATACAGGGAATGAAGCAGAATGACAGGTTGGGCAGGGGAAGGGGATTGGAGTGACACTCAGGGTACTTGTGGCACTCCTGCCAAAAAAGGTTGTTTCCCCACTGTGGTAGCAGAAGAAATAACTGCTTAGTGTTTGCTGATGTAACTGTGTAAGAGGGGTGGGTTTGCTGTTTTATTCATCCCAGATTACAAGTCTACTAACTATAACAATGTGATTGTTTTGCTTGCAGGAATATTTTGCATTATTTCCCTGTGTACGTACACAGCAAGCATATCATATGATCTAAATCGTTTACCTAAATTCATATATGGTCTTCCCGATGATGTAGAACATGGATACAGCTGGTCTCTATTTTGTGCTTGTTGCAGTTTAGGATTTATAGTGGCAGCAGGATGTCTTTGTACTGCCTACCCATTTGCTAGTAGGACCAAGATTATTCATCTAAAATCTGCCAGAGATTCTTCTGTATGACTGCTATCAGATGATCTTCAACAACATTCAGTAACAGACACAGTATTCTCCAAGTACTCACCAAAGAAGCAGGGGGAAAAGTAAAGGGAAAGCTAAATTCAGGTTTCCAAGCACAAAAGTCTGATCCTTCAAAAATCTTGACCAGTAAAACCCTTTCTTAAGCAGAGGAGGACTCATCTTGTTTCTTTCTAGGAGACTATAAGAAAGGAAACACCTTTTCAAGGACAAGTTCAATATGCTGAACACTTACAGCATGAAGATGATGAGATCTGTTTACACTGGAAGGTTAAATGGTTAAAAAAAAAAATGAGGAAGAACTCTGAAGAGAATTTAAGGCAATTTGTATTTTTCAACAGTTTGTATATAAAGAACAACCATTATTGGAGGAAAAGTCATCTGTTCAACAGTTTGTATATAAAGAACAACCATTACTGGAGGAAAAGTCATCTTTGTGTCCCAGTGAGAGAAACTTTTCTTTCATGGTATGGTGGTTTTAACGCATCTTCTGAAATTGGACTTGGAGGACAGGATTTTTATTTACTATTAAATAGTATCGTCTCTTCCTATATAGCTGGAGTGAGTGTTCCTTATTAAAACAAGTCATACTTTGCTCTATTTCTTATCTGACTTGCCTTGTAATTTATAAGCAACCAAAATGTCCATTGTTAAAATAGATGAGAGATCCATTGTGTGAGAGAGAATCCTATCAGTGTTGTTGGAAGTTACATGGTTGTGAAACTTTTTTTGCTAAGCTACAGTTTAATAGTAAAATAGTCCCTCTAGTAACAGCATGTGTGTTGAATGCAAGTTTGTGGCTTGGAAGTGACCTTCCTTTTGAATGGTGGTGTAAATTAAAAGCCTAAGGGAAAGCAATTATGGCAAGATTTCTATTAATATTTAGATGCATTTTATTGCCTCTCCCTATGGCCCACATCTACAATCTGCATAGAACAGCCTGGAATTAACAACATGAACTGTCTTTTGTATTTACATGTCTATATGTAACAATTGCCTGCAGTCATGCTTTTTGCTTACACAGGTAGAAGTCACCTGCTGTAGTCACAACCTCCAATGAAGATATTAGAAGTGGGAGAGTACTGCCTTTGATGGATCATTTGCCCCCTCCCCCAGATCCTAGTGCTCATTCTACAGGAACCACAGGGATAGGATGGGAACAATCACTTTTTCTGGATACCCTTTCTGCCCTCTGAATCTGTTTCTCTTTAAAGTTGAACTCTAAGCATGAATGTAGGTTGAAACCAGGTGCCCTTCCTCCAGGTCTGGGGTGCCATTCCCCAAGCCTACCTGTCTTGTGGTCTGAAAACCCTTCCCTTTATTAAAAGGAGCTTTCCAAAAAACTTCATAGGCTGCACCTTATCAAGCTTTCTGTTTTTCCAGTAACCATCCAAGTTCTCTCTCTGGTATGCAAACTAAAACACTGCCTGAAGTCTTTACAAGACTATCTTGGGAAAATACAGATAAGTATATATGGCACCTAATGGAAAACACCACAGAAAAGAAGCCTCCCATTACATTTATGCCTTTTGCATACATTTAAAAATAAAATAGGCAGGTCCTTAAGCAGGGGTAAAACAGTATGGCTCAAGGGACGTCCTCAGAACCTTCTACTCATGTCTGGTATCATCTGTTTCCCCACACGTTAAAACAGTGGTGATAAATCTCTTGGTCTGGTGGTCCAGATGAGTGGCACAGAGTTGGTGTGCAGGCTGGATCAGGGACTGCCCCTTCCTGTTGGGATTTGGCCGAGGGCCCAGCACTGTCTCATCCCACCCACCACATGCAGTGTCAGGCCCCCAGCATGCTGCAGCATGCAGGGCCTGGGGCTGTCCAGGGGTCTGATAGCAGGGGATCAGCGACACCCCTCTTGCCCTGAATTTCTGGACCCATGATGATCTTTGACCCCACGGGCCAGGGGTTGAGCACCCCTGGATTAAAATATTCACTCTTGAGACAATGCTATAATCTACTGAGAGGTTTTACTTATAAAAATTTACTTATTTTTAGTTAAATGCATCATGTATGGTATGATTTAGTACATCAGAATGATAAGCTAAGCTGTTGAATTATGCTGTTAATTTGTGCAATGACTAAACACACATCAGAACTGTGACATAAAACATAGACCTTTTTCCCTAGAAATCAGCTGGTGAAGATTGGGGCATGCATTATATGCGAGAACATGGATTGCCACAAATCTGGACATTTGATGGCAAGAGAGCAGCAGGAGTGACTGACATGGCTCTGGGAGCCACAGCCATTAATGCTGCCACCATTCCCCCTTCTGCCATGTCTCCAGACACCAGTTGCATGATGTGGCCCCAGACCCAGTGCACCAGACCATGCCAGCATGTGAGGTCAGTCCACAGGCTCCATTTGCCAGGTGGAGCTGGTAGTTCAGCTCCCTAGCTGCGGTACTCATTTACCAATGCTATAAGGCAAGATCTTTCCTTCTTGCTGCCTTTCAAAAGCAGGATGTGTATTATATTCTGGGGTGCAATATATGCAGGTACATAGGGTATTACATAAGTTCTGTCCAATCAGTCTTTACCACCTACCAGCAAAATAACTATGGTTGCTCAGCAATATTCACATTTTTCACATACTTAGACATGCTTAGTGCTTTGACATAAAGACATGGAGTGTTTATATACGTCCGGGGAGGGGGGTGGCTTGAATGAGCTTTAGATAAAGCACCCCCACTGCCATTTTGATGCATACAGACATTGATACACAAGGCGCGGGGAAGCTGCAAGGCCATAGTAATTGCCACACTCCAGCAGACTGGATTAATAGAGTCTGCTCCAAAACAATCAACTTATAGTGAATTGGAGCAGCTTCTTCCCTCGTGTGTATAGGCACCCAAGGTGACTTCAAAAGTACATCATGTTTTACTATCAACTAGCCGCGCCTTTTCCTACGTGCCTACGTGAACGTTCTGTGTCACAACAACAGTTCTGCTTGGTTCTGTTTCTTACTTGAATTTAAGCTTGTAGTTTATAGTTTTTTCATTGTTAACATAGATCAGAGATCCACTGTCACATAGATAACATCATAAAATACTGAGGGTCTGTAACAGATGAGAGGAGGGGATTGGAATATGAAGTGCAATGTGGGAGAAACAAACATTTCAATCACTACAGGAACAAGTTTTCCAGCAAAATATCTATTGCAAACACAAGTGAAGAAAGCAAAGCACAGAAGTCATTGCTGCCCTGGGTCTAGTAGTAGTGTTTTTACACAAGCTTATCCCCAGGTTCAACCCCAACCCTGGACAGAGTGGCCAAGGAGAGGCAAGCAACTGATCTTACAGCCCCTAGAAAGAGGGGGAGGTAGCTATGGAGTGAGATAGGCTTGTTAGAAATAGAGCAAACACTGATGGAGGAAGAGTGAGGAATAAAAGCAACACAGTAATTAGATTAGATGGTATGAGATGAATGGGGACAGAGGAATGATTAGGGAAAGCTGGTAGAGAATGTACATACTGGATGCAGATTGTGTGGGATGACTGGGAAACAGATGGTGGAGGAAAAGCAAAAAGAAGATTGATCTTACAAGATTAAGAGCTCGGGGAAGGGAGAAAATGAAAAAAAAAGACAATGGAGCAGAGGATAGGAGTAGTGAGCACCATGGGGAGAGTCTGCTTAATGCAGTAAAAAAGCAGAAAATTAAGTCACAAATTAAGCAGATAAACAGAACAGCAGATTGAGTAGGCAGAGCAGGGAATACTTGGCAGCCAGGCACAGTAGTAGTTCACAGGTAAAGAAGATATGGCACAACAGCAAGCCGAGGCAAAATGCTTTTAGTAGCAGAGCAGGATTATACCCATCACTGCCTCCCACACCCAATTCTTTTTTTCTTAACGCAGAACTAATAAGAGACTATAATGCTTCCCAGTAGTCTTTTCAAGTACTACTAGCATCTGTAACGATTGCCCTTTCTATTACGTCTCCTTATTTGGTTTCCTGTACACATGCAGTTACAAATAGCCAGTTGTTGTAATGTTTGGATTCCAGGGGCAGCCATGACACTTCCAATGGCCACGCAACCCTTACCCTGCTCTAGCTCTGGGGTGCCTGCCCTCCCTTTCAGTTGCCATGCCTTGATGTATTTGATCGAAATTAAGGCTGTTTAAGGGTCCGAGACCAAGTCCCAGTTCTATTGGCCATGAGCAGGTCCCTCCCAGGCCTTGCTGTACTCAATTCTACCCCTCTCGGGTCAAGTGGGCCTTCCTGACCTGTCTGTAGTCCCCAGGACACCTATGGCTCTAAGGGCTATTCACAGCCTCTGGCCTCCTATACAGCTATGATATGCCTTGCAGGTGTTACTGTACAATCGCTCCCTTGTCCTTTTTCTCCAGTTGGGTATTCTAGTCCAGGCCCATCATGCTAGACCTGCTTTCTGGGCACCAGTTCCTATCTCAATTTACTTCAGTCCTGGGCCCCTGGCCTCAACCCTGCTTTGGGCACTGGACTCCCTGGCCTGGTCTGGCTTGAATTGCACTCAGCTATAGTCCTTCCATAGGCTACCACCCTATAAGGCTCAAGCCCAGTCTACATCTCGAGCCCCTAGCAGAGCTGAAGACACTCTTGGGACCTCTGCCAGTCCCTGATAGTCCCAAACCCAAACTGCTGTAAAGAAATAAGCCCTTTAGCTACAACAAACTAAACCAGGTCCAAATGTGAACAGGAGCCTACTGTAGAAGCAGCAAGACTTGTTCTTGCCCTGGGTTATATCCCCCTGGTAGCAGCCTCCAGTGCCTTACTTGCATCCTGAAGGCAGCCCAAGAGTCAGCAAAGCCCCTTCATGCACCTGCACCCAGGAGCTCTTCCCACTGCAGTTTGCTTGGCTAGACTGTCTGACCCAGCCCAGGCCCTAGGCTTATATGCTGCCTCAGCCCTGCCCCTTCCGGCCAGGTGGTGCTGCAGCCCTGCAGGTGTTTCTCATTAGGGCCCCAAGGCTGGTTGCCATGGGAGCTGGTTACTGCTGTCCCAGAAGCCTCCCTGCTCCATGAGCTATAGGCTCTGCCCTAGTGGCCTGTTTCCCTAGCTGCCTGGTCCCTTGCAGCCAACTCCCCCCAGGCAGAGTTTTTACCAGCTGCATTATGCTAATGGGCAGCTCCCTACCTAGGCAGCCTGTGCCGTAGCAATTAAATTTGGCACCCAGGGCAAAGCCTGCAGTGGCAGCCCGCCCCCAAATCTGGGGGGGAGGGGGACATACGTGCCCCCATGCTTGCCTGGGAGTGCACACAGCGGCGGGAGCCACCCTTCCTCCATCCCCACATCTGCCAAAACAAGCTGCTTGTGGTCTGTCCTGGCTGGCAGTGCCTGTTGGCACCCCTTTGCTTTGGCGCCTGGGGCGCTTGCTACAGCACTGTAGGCAGCAGTGTTTCTTTGCTTTCTCCTGTCTTGTGGCTAGCCCCTGCTCTGCTGTCTGGGCTCTGTCTGCTGCCGTTTCTCTCCTTAAAAGAACCCAAGGCTTCATGCTACACCAGTGGAACAACTTTCTTCAGGCACTTCCTATGATCATGTCTTATCGCTAATTATGACAACTTCCTCTCAGGGTTTCTTGAGATCCACCTGTCACAAGTACTGTCTACGGATGGGTTTGCATAGCATAAGATTTCAATCCTCACTAAAACTGCTGGACACTAGAACAACAAATATTTGATATAGTAATCTTTAATCCAGCATTTTGTACAGACAAGGTATTGTGAAAAAAAAACTCACAAAATTCTTTGCAGCCCAATGGAGAGACAAACAAGTGGCACCTCCAGGACTGTGCTGCAGGTAGAAAGACCTTGAAACAAAGCAAGCAAGAGAGAGCTTGGCTCTCTGGATTAAGTAATCTTAATTAAATGTAATTTAGCCAGAAAAAATTCAGGGCCACAGTATCTTTCAAGATCAGGAAAATGATAGGCCAAATCTATGATTGTAAATCCCTGGCCCCCAAGCACGTGGCATGCTCAACACTTGTTTATATTGGTTATTTCACTAATGTAAATAATATATAGATTCTTCAAAATGGATGAAAAGTGGAAGGAAGGTCACTCCAGCCTTGTGATTCTCAACCAGGATGTTATGAGATCCTTTTAAGGTTGTCACAAGGGGAAAGGAGACAAGTGCTTGCTTGTTCCCTCCAGAATCCTGTGCAAGCAGGTGAGCACTGTAATAAATTAGTTTTTTTAACGAGTTGCCACTAAATTCCTAAATGTTACAGAGGAGTGCCTGAAGTCTAAAGGGTGAGAACTAATGCTCTAGCCTATAAATATGTAATGTAAAAATTGCTCTATGGAGTTAAGAAATGGTGCAAACTGAGTTTACGTAGACAAAATCATTGGTAACAGGCTTTTGCTGCACTTGCAAAAGTGTTCATATGTGAATTATTACATGTTGGTTCTGACTGAACAACATTTCTAATGAACATTTGGCAACTTCGTTAGCTTGGGACTGAATCTTCTGCAGTACGGCTGTTTTCAATTGAGATGCTACTCTTCAAATTTATGATAAAAAAAACTTATTGAACACTTCCAAACAAAAAAAAATGCAAAGATTGCAAAGAACTGATGCAAATGGAGTTTATTCTCCTGTCTGAAGACTAGAATACTGCAGTTCCAAACTCCCCAGTAAACTATTTACAGGAATGGCATTACAACATTAAAATGCAGGCTGAAAATAATGTAAACAGCACAGAACAGGTCTCATAATAGAACTATATTTATTTAGACATTAAAAATATTTCTCCTTACATAAAATCCATTAACATTTAATAATTTTAAATTTTCTTATGCCGTTGCTACATATAAACTACTCAGAGCCACTTTAAAAGATTTCTGATCCATTTCAGTTTACTTCTCTACTCAAATTTGGAAACATTTAGGAAAGTCAAAAAACAATAGCCTATCAAAATGTCTCCCTTTTCAACAGCAAATTCAACTGTACAGATTACTCCTTCAACAGTAGGGACTAAATTAGGAGACCTTTATCTTGGAGCTTTTACTGTAGCTCTGGCCCATTATGCCACGTCATCTCACCCGCAAAGCTTCCCATTGGTTCAGAAATTTGGGGCAAGGAAGGGGTGGCACCACTCTCCTGTAGCCAAATTTCAAGACAGAGAGAGCCCTGGGCCCTAGGTGCTGTATCAGATGCGGAGTCCCAGCATGCAGTAGGCAGGAGCAGGGCAGTGCCCCTGGGGTGATGCCTGATCCAGCTCACAGACAGGCTCCATGCCACTCATCTGGCCTATGGGGCCAGAAGATTGAGCACCACTGCCCTAACAACTTCCTTTAAAAAATTGTGGAAAGCCCCCTCGCCACCCAGGCCCCAGGACAGCCACGCACCTGCCAGCTGTGCCAAGCCCAGGACAACAGCTGCAAGAGGCTCTGGCTGCCCCCCTCCTCCTGCACTCCCCACTCCTGCCCCGCCACCCACACCCCCCCAACCCCGTGATCACCCCCAGCACCACTCCAGGACACACACGAAGGTCAAACAGTACAAACTTTATTAATACAACAAAACACCCCATCCCTCCTCCCTCAATGAACACAACCCCCTCCCACAGAGTGCCCCTCCACCACCCTCCCCACTAACACTAAAAATCCTGTTCCCCAAATTTCACAGACACTTGACATGCCTGACCCTGTCCCCAAGTACATCTGTAAGGGGCTGAGGGGTGGAGCCACCCTGGGCGGAGAGCCAAACAGCAGGCAGCCAGCACCACAGCCATAGACAGTTCCCCTGCAGGTCCAGGGGCTGTGGCCTGCAGGCAATACGAGACCTGCTTTAGGGTGCTGCCAGGGGCCTGCTGCAGGGCAGTGGGCAAGACCTGCGGGGCAGTGGGCAGGACAGGTCCTATGGGACCAGAGTGGGGGGGCAGGCAAAGTGGGGCATGGGCACAGCCTCTGCTGGGCAGCCCTGGGTGGTCAGCTGCTGCTCCAGCAGCTCCACATGCTGCTGCTTCAGGGCCACCAGCTCAGCCCAGTGAGCCTGGCATGCCCACAGCTGCACCTCCTCCTGGGCAGCCTCCCAGACGAAGTCCTTTGCCCACCATGCACACTGGTCTGCCACCCAGCCCTCCACTGTGACCACCAGCTGCCGGAGCACGTGGGTCCCATCCTGGCTGCGCCACTGGTGCAGCCAGCAGCTTCAGTGGGGGCATACAGGGACCGCTGGGGTGCTGCAGCCACAGGCAGCTCCCTGGAGCTGTGTGCCCCAAGGCATAAAATGGCTGCAGGCTTTTATAACCTACAGCTAGAGGCTGCCAGAGAGCAGCCAAGCCCAGCAGCAGAGGGGGCCAGCCAGGAGTCCTGGGGCTGGGCTCCAGCTGGCCCCAGTGGCTGGGCAGCCCCAGTTGGGAGCTCCTGTATTACTGCGCAGTAAGGCATCTACGTGTGTTACTGTGCAGTAACTAATTGGGCATAAATTTGCTACATGGATCATGCAGGTATCAAATTTATGCGCAAGTCAATGTAAGCCGCCATAGTTACTATGCAGTACTACAGGCATGCACATGTAGACACGTGCCCATACTGTGCAGTATTTTTTGGTTACTGCTCAATAAATGTGCACATGTAGACATGCCTACTGTGTCCAAATGTGGGATTCTTTAGCAAGTAAAGCATCAGAAGGAAAAGGAATAATTTAACACTTAAAATAAAGCAAGAGCTGCTTATAATAAACATAGTGTTTGCCAAAATTAAGAATAACAGGGTTCATAAGTTTCAGTACAATTATACTTTCAAATGTATCAAACCAAATTCATTCAAGCATTATTTAAGAATACTGTTGACCCCAGATGTAGGCATTTTCTTATATTTACATATGAAAGCATTTGTTTTTCCAAGACTAACACCATGGGAGTCCACAAGTACCAAAGACCCAAAACATTTCATTTTATCGTTGTGGGGTTCTCTTTCCATGTTTTTATTTGAAGAAGAAATGCTCTGTGGGCTCCCATTTTCCTCCCTGGGATTCGAGTCAGTAGCCATAACAGTTTTATTTGTGTCATCAGTAGTGATATTAACTGATGCATTGTTTTCAACATAATTAGCAATAGGTCCATCAACGTACTTGTGAGGATCCTGGCTAAGCAACAAGACCACAGTCCCTCCAACATGAAGCACTCTGTCAGTGACAAGACACATGGTTAATCATACATCCTTCCCAAATTCCTCGTTTTTTCTAAACTTCTCAAATGCATCAAAGACTACAAAAAAACTGACATTTTATATGGCAAGGCCTTAAGTGTTTAATTGAATTAATATAATTTAACTGCAAATGTTAAATCCAACTATTTGTAAAAGTTTTCCTAAATGGAAAAGCTGGACCCTTATTACCACATCAGTATTTCTGACCTCAACCAATCAAAATGATTAATAATAATAATAATAATAATAATAACAACAACACGTCTAACTTCATTTTTAAAACTCTGTCCAACACACTGATGAGAATATTATCTCCCTCAAACAATTTTTCTAGGTCTAACTAATGGAGGCAGAGGCTTTGAGTTGTTTTCTTTTTCCCTAGAAGCTCTAAACTACACCACAAATGAAACACTACCTTCTGCAGAATGGCATACAGCTTTGCAGGGACATCAGGCAGTTTTTAGTTGACTGTTGCCATAGGACAAGTCAAAGAGAATCATTTTAGAATTCATCATTGATTCCTACAGATGTTTCATCTAAGGCAGGGGTTGTCAACCAGGGGTAAGTGTGGCAGAAATGCCACTGTCGGTGCCCCTCTCCCGAGATCTGTCTCCAGCAGCCTGAGAGGTGGCCGTTGAATCCCTCACAGCGGGGATCTCGCTCCTTGTCTGCAGACAAAAGCCTGGCGCCTGGGAGGCGATGCTCTGGTCACCTGGGCGGGGAGGGGGGAAGACCCGGCCCTGCGCGCGGGCCCAGGTAGCCAGGGATGCCATGCAGATTGGTCGGTTTGTAGCCAGTATTGGCAGGG